GGTTTATTTAAATAAAAAATGCCTGCATAATGATGTATTTCATTTGGAGTGTCTAATTTTTTAGATATTCCATAAGATTAGTGACTTACTGTGAATGTGATACAAAACAAATATAAAATTTGAGAAAAGATGTGAAGTATAAAAGGAATGTGAGGCGTAAATGAATAAATATGTGAATGTAAATAAACTTTGAGCTCATTTTCGTTTCCCTGAAAATGAAATTATATGAGTTGAATTGCTCCCAACAATATCAAATTTCCACGCTTTCTGGCTCCGCATTATCCATCAACGTAGTTTCCTGGAAATCACTTTATATGATTGACTGCAGCCTTTGGAGCTCAGCGAAAGTATGCCTGGAAAGTCCAAATCCACTTCATTTGTGAAGGCGAAGTGGATTTTGACTTCTCAGAATTGAAATGACCCAATATTGAAATGCTACAGGAACTCAGACTCATAATGAGAATTTTGTATCTGCCTTTTTGGAACTTTTTACCTTTCATCATCTGAATTTCACATAAACATAGAAGTTTTAGTATACTTTTGTACGTATTTTAAAATTTTGTCTGAAAAAACAATTTCATGAGTATGTATTATAATAGGTAGCTAAATTTGACATGAAGATATTCGAATGTATTGTCCTTCTTGTCAATTCGGACAGATCTTTTATATGCATATATTTTATTCGGGGAAATTTCGAACTTTTGAAATTGTTGGTATAAATACCTGGTTTCTCTCCTTTACGTGTAAAGTGATGTTGCACCAATAAAGTTGTTTGATGAAAACTACTGGGAACTTAGCTTTGGAACTTGGAAATCTGCTATAAGGAACTTTCGTGATTTATTCAGTTTTTGGATTGACTTTTGAATGTAGGTCGTACTGGTTTCAACACAATTATAATTTATTACTATTCTAATTGTTTTCGACTTGATTTTCAATAATTTATGGAGCATTATTGTTAAAATAATAATATATATTATTACTTTGTCTTTTATTTGCCTCACTATTTGTTTTTCTATTCTTGTAATTATTTTCAACATTATTGTTATCTCTTTGCCTATATTCTTGACTGTTATGGTTGTTTGCCCTGTTATGTAGATAACTGTAATTTATTTTTCGTCTTTCTTGGGCCATTAAAAATTTACACAAACTATCCTAATCTTTGAAATTGTACAACATCATTATTTCTTCCAGATTATTATCAAAGTTCTGGATTATTAAATTGACTATATACACCTCAGTGAATTCACAATTTGTACATTGTGTTGAGCTATAAATTTGCATTGCATATTTATGATATGACGTTCCTCTATTTGGATTGAATTTTTTCACCCAATAATTCGTCTTTTACTAATTTTTCTTGTGATGCTCTCGGAAATATGTTAGAAATTTGCTTGAAAGCCTCATCTTGTATTTGATTCCTTATTATTTGTTTCACCTCATTATATGAAATATTGTCATATTTATTTTCAATAAATTCTATGAATGGAACAGGATGTTGTCATTTTATATTTCCTGGGAATAGTTATTCATTTCATTCAGGTTATTATTGGTCTAATACTATCTTCTCTATTATTAATTTTCCTCTCCTTTTGTTTTATTCTATTATTTATGTCTATTACTTTTTCATTAAATTAATTTTCATGTTTATTGGGTTTGTCCCTAGTTATTTTATTATTCCTATCTATCTTGTCATTCAAATTTTCATTTTCATCCTTATGCGTGTTAATTTCTTGAAGTAACCTTCCTTCAATAATACTTATTTTTCCATGAACTTGGTTGATTCATTCTCCTCTTTCCTTTTTATTACTGTCTACCTACTGGAAAATGTGTTCTACTTTTTCTTCAATAGTTTTCTTAAATTCAAACAATTCTTGTTTGATGTTATATTTCCATTTCTTTTTCACATTTTCGTTGGGTCATCTCTTTTTCCACATAATTTCTTCATATACATTTCTTGGATTATCATTTCTTCTTGTCTTTGTTTTTCTATGATTTTCGTTTCTTCCTATCTTTTTTTTCTAATTTTTCGTTTTGTGAAATGAGTCAAATTACTTTGGAAATCGGAAATCTGCTTGATTTATTTAGTTTATGGATTGACTTTTAAATGTAGGTCATATTGGATATAGCTCAATTGAAATTCATTACTATTATAAAATATTCATTCTAACTGTATTTGACTTAATTTTCAATAATTTATGGAGCATGAAATTTGCGTCGCTTCTCTCTTCGTAACTTCAAAAAAAATCTCTTTTCGTTGACAAAAAAGTTGAACATCAACTCCTTTGCTTGGATATGAATTACTACTTGTCACAAGTTCAAATTTCGAAATTTCATATTTTAAATACTAGTTAACTTACAATTTTGATACATGCTTCTAAAATTAGATATACTTCTCTATAATATGCTCACAACTTTTTTATAACCTCACTCATGTCTAAATATCTTAATTTTATCCAAGCATCATTCAATGTTCGTAACTAAGGAAGCATTACAACTCTTCTTTTTCAAACATTTCATCATTTCTAATTAATTTTAATGATTTTATTATGTCTCTCCAGAACACATACAATATTATTTCTGATTGATGGTGTTGTAAAAATTCTGTCTGTTGTATTTACTCCAGAATAATTAATGTCATACTTAATTTTCGATATTTCTCTCGCTCTTTCACGTGATTTCCGCTTAGAGAACTTCACTTATATTCATGTACAGGGTGATCAAAATTTATCCCTGTTGAGCCTTTTCTAGAGATATTGAGAACATTTTTCTTTTATTGATTTCTCTGAGTCTATTTCATAACAGTATATAGTTTTTTCGACGTTCCTAAAGCTGAAATCTGCGTCTATCTTCAGAACTAACAAACTTGACTATAACTTGTTTTTCATCCCAAATTCTTCTCATGTTAAAACTCCTTCGACAGATATCGATAGATTTTGCTCTCCAAATCATCAAAATTGAAAATCTGTCCAATTTTTTTATACACAAAATCATGAAATAATTTCAGCAACTCATGAATAGATTTTTTATGGAGAATGTTTTGAATTTGAACACTATTTTCTATCGGGGTAAACAAAACTTTGCCTATTTTACATCTGTATGAAATTCTCGAGTAAACTTTCTGAAGATTGTGAAAATGGTGAACAGTCCCAAAAAAACTGATTAACTTAATTCGCTTAAGTCAAAGCCGAATATATTTGCCAGGTCCTTCCAAAAGGGCGATATTTCACCGTTGGTGATCTCAAGGGGATTGAAAATAATCAATTCTTGATATTTTCACCAGATTCACAGAGTATGTATCGCCAAAAATCGTTCAGTGTAACTTACTGCATATATAACATGAATCACTCCAATAGTTACCATCATGAAATTAAAAAAAGAAAGTGAATTGCGAATCATGCTAATTACGTTGATTTGTGAAAATTAAACACTTGTATTAAGATATGGTCTTGTCGTTATTTCAAAATAATTGCCAGGTGTCTGACTTACGTGACTTACACAGTTATTTCTTCAGTTACAATGAACTCGGTTTGTAAATGATAATCATTTGAAAGGCAAAATTGAATGGAAAAAATCAAACTGAAAAACTATATCGCATGATTATTACTGAGGTATTCTACTTTCAATGACGATATCACAACTCACATCGAATTCGTTACTTCTATTTCCTGGTATATTTCAATTCTTGTATTTTTTTCAATTGACTTTCAAACTTACATGTATATTGAATATTTTATGAAGATAACAGACAATCCGAAGCACTTTCTATCACAGAAAAGAAGGAACTACACAGTAGACCTAGATTTTTCAAACTAACATAAAATATTTACACAACAATCACAAAACAATGTTTACTGTTATACCTGCTGACAACTACAACTACTTGCTACTTGGCCTGATGCGCTAGATATGCGACATGCATCTCTCTTTAGAACCAGCTTATTGAATGTTGGTTTGCGTAAACGTAAGTCTATACTCGAAGCATGTATTTAAGAGAGAGTAGGATTTCATGATGGTGACTCAGACAAATCAGATTTGAGTGTTTTCTTATACAGCGGATTAGCTCAATAATAGTAATTCAATAATAGTAGGCACTGAATTCTCTGAAATATTATTGCATTTAAACGAAAACATTGTTGTCAGGTTGTGATTCTATACATTTAAATCATGCACAGGCAGCTAAGTGGTCATAGAATAACAGACAACGTGTTTTATTCATTGAAGAAACTTCCTGCTAATAAAATGTATTCAACAGCATCAATGTTACTTAAATGAATATAAAAAATTTGAATTATATTCTGCGACTAAAATTATAAGTGGACAGAGATGTTTGCGAGGCGGAGAAAAGAACTGCAAAATAAATTGGACGTGAGATAGAGAGAGATATGAATATTGGCCCATCAGCTGAGCGCGATTAGGTTAACATTCATGAGCATAACATTCGTTAAATAATGCGTAAAGTAAATATTAACTTATTCATCTTTGACCTGTTATTATAATTTGGTAATAAAGATTTAGGTATGTTTTAACACTGATGACAGTTTTGGAATTTCTGTTATCAAAACTCTAAAATTGGAAATACCTGTTTCAATAATATAATGAATAATGATATTTTTGTTTGATCCCTACTCTAGATAATGATGAAAAAGGAATAATACACTGTCTATTATACATTAGGAATAGTCCTAAGAAGTTATAATGTAGTCGACGTCACAATATTAGGTAACTTTATTTCTAGGAAAAGGATTAACAGTAAATAAAAGAACAATATGGAGAGTGAAAGCAGTCAAAGCAAACGCAGACGTCCGAATTCACCTAAAGGAGAATAAACTATTATATACAATGTGTATTTAGGGCTCCGTGAATAGAATGAAAATATGTTGCATGAACACCTAGTTAATAAGTGTACTGATTAAACTGAAGTGTCGATGAGAAGTGTTCATAAAATTTTTAAAACCTGTGAAGAAAATGAAGGCAAATGTGATGATGTCTCTAAAGATATTGAAACTAGAAGAAAACAAATTCAGCTTGATGATTACAACAAATATGCTATTCGTAGAGAATTTCTTTTGTTTCTTTTTCGAAATGAAATCCCAACCTTCGCAGCCGAAATAAGTTCCGATGAATCTATATCCAAAATATCACGACGTATTTTATAGTGCACATTGAAGGAAATAAACATTAAATTCATGAGATAGGGTAGGAAAAGTACTGTTGAAAAAAGAGAAGAAATTGTTATGTGGCGGAGAAATTACTTGAAAAAAATCCCAGAGTATCGTCTTCAAGACAAAAAGATTTGAATGAATCAAGGCCATACTGTCTCAAAGGTATGGCGACATTCAGAGGTGAAGAGTTGTTTGGAAAACGACTCATCGAGTCAAAGAAAACTAGAAATTATCACTGGTATATGGACGCGCAAAAGTAAAAGATTTTACCAAACCTTGAACCAAACTCTGACGTGGTCATGGATATCATTCATTGGCTGTCTCAAAAAAGTGTACCATTCGACGATGATATTTTGAAAGTCCAATTACTCAATATTGCAAAAAAATATATACCTCTGTTGAAGAAATATGTTGTCGACGAAATGGTTCCTGAGAGAAACATAATTGTACAGGGCTTCCCTCCTTGAAATTGTGAGTTCAGACAATGCAATACTATATTTCATAATATTTTTTTTTGTTCACAATGTTCCACACTCTGAAATAACCAGAGCTGATTCTATAGAGAATCTGCTGATTTTGTAGTGTACGAGTATACAGGTTGCGAAAACGAAATAGAGTTGTTTTCCGAAATGTTAACCACTTAAGAAAGGCAAGTAATAGTATTAAATTTTTTTCAAATGATTTTTTTCAGTTTGTTGGCAGAATGTATGAATACGATAATTGGTTTTCATAAAATTAATATAAATTAATTATTATTCGTGAATATAGTTTTAAAATACCAGCAATACACTCGAAATTGAATTTGCCTCATCTGTTTAGTATAATTTCCGTATGTCACTGCAAGAGACAGATTGAGGCAAAAACATCACAGTCAGTTCTGAGAATTCAGTGCCTACTATTTTTGAAATATAGTATAGATGATTTTATTGCGTGAAAACTTGAATGTGTGTTTGTTTTCTTTCAACGATTTGAAAAACATCTTATCAAAAAGATATTGATTGTGATGACTACCGAAAGTATGCAAATATTCAAAAGGGTAGATATATCATGAAAGAAAAATTGTAGTGTTGAAAAATATGATAAAATTGACCAATACCTGACAGATATCCATTCAAAATCCATTTGAAAAACACAGTTCATTGTGAGATTTTAACTTGGAAGTTTACAAAACCACGATACGTGTTTCGACATATAATATAGTAAGATCCCAGGGCCACAATACGTCACGTATTTTCTAACGAAGGAAATGTGGACGATTGAGTACTGTTAGTATGTACTATAAGAACGCATGCCTACCTGCTTGCTTGCTTAGACGGCCAATTTTCAGGTATCTGGTAATCAAGGTACATAAATACATTACTTACCTTACGTAAATTCTCCAAGCTGGTTTTTACCTATATTTCAGCCGATATCCTTAAAAATAAGTCGCCAATACTCCCAGACACTTTCCGTCGGCCGCATTGCTTTGTAGATGCTTTAAAACTCCCAAAATAATTACTTAACTTCACTTAAATTCTGATGCTCATACCCCAAATTCAATTTTAAGCCTCTGTTGGTAGGAGCGCGAGGACATTATCCACGGGCATGGGACTGAGTGAGACATGTAGTAGGATATATTGACTTCTCTCTCTCTCTCTAACTCTCTTACTGGTTGCTCATATCAATTAATTATTATTATTAAAAAAATCAGCTAAAATTCAAAATATCAGGTAAATAATTAAAAATTAACTTGTAAAAAAATGCTCATTTCAGATAATTAAAAAAAATATTTATTGGGAATTAATCATAAAAAAATACAAAGAGAAAAATCTCTCCACATTTCTGAGTAGTGCCTCTAATCTTCATTATCATCGTCATTGAAATTAGACAATTCATCATACAGCCAATCTTGATTTCAAATATCTGAAGCGTTATTGTCATTATCAGCATTATCCTCTTTCGTTCCACTTCCACTGTGAAATAGATGGGCTAGGTATTGTTATAGGGTAAGTTATAAGAGTGGTTGTTGAGTTGAAATTTTGAAAAATAGATGCTTCTGGCTCAATAGTTCGTATGTCTAATTCAACTGTCGTTAAAAATTCTACAGATGAATTTTCAGCAATATTTATTGATTTTTCTGTTGAGGAAGATTACTCGATTGATAATTTTTTTTGTAAATAGTATTTTTTATATAACCCTGTAAATGATTATTTCAAACGTTGTCTGTGATGACCACTTTCAGATAAATCACCCGACAAAACAACGTCATTAAATTTAGGGTTATGTTCTATTATATGTTTTAAAACTACTTCGTGAAAAGTATTAAATTTACATCAGAATATTTACAAAACACACAATTTGATGGGAAAGCCATTATATTCTTTCAAATACTGCAAATATTATTATTTTTGTCACACACGTTGTGAAATCACAGCTGCACTCAACGGACATTGTGGATCACTGAATCTGAACACTTTTCTTGTGAGCAGTGATGCCAGATGAAGAAATTGAAAATTCAGTAGCAGTGTTGAGAAAACGCGGATTTTCACCAAACAAAGTGGAATTTCATATCGAAACATTTGTTTACATTGATTTTACATTCTCACTTCATACGGTAACTGATATTTTTAATTGTTTATCCATATACGGCAAGGGAACTTAAAAGGTAAGAAATGAAAATAATATAATTTATGTTACTTTCATTATACCTGTCAGGTATTTATCATACAAGAACAAAAATATTCCTATAGAACCAACCAAAACTTTTGTTAGTATAATTACTAATTTTTGTTTGCAGGTGGTTGACAATGTTTCACGGTGCATTTCATCAGTTCGGACTTCCATTGTCTAATATGATATAAATAGATTTGAGATTGTATATGATAATAATATATGATATGCAACATACATATTGATAACGGTTTTGGTAACAATAATATCTGAAATCTATGTATAATATGCAGGTTTACCAGTACAGAAAAATCCCATTACTTTTTGACAGGAACTAAAATTGTTGTTTTTGATTGAATGGATATAATTCAATTTTCCATTGTTATTAGTCAGTTCCAAATCCAAGAATAAATCACTTCACCATAACATAATGAATTAGGGAAAAAACTTTCGAATAACATTTAATACTTCAATAATCTTAGTGAAATAAATAATCAGTTGTAGTGGATTCAGTCGTAATAATGATGTTCAATAGTTGGACTATGATGATGAATAATGACACGATCATGGTCATGGTAGTCGTGGTATCTGGAGGATCCAATATGAAGGGACGGAAGCAACAAACTCAGCCCCAACCCTAAAGTTCGCTTGTCTCTTGTGGAAGTGCTCTCTTCTTCATTCGTTGAAGAAACTAAAACCAGCCCGAAAATGGCAAAAAAGAGAAACTGGTAGAACTGAAACAAAACTTTTGTATAGAAATCAAAGTTTAATATATTTAGCTGCCCTTAACTTACAAAATCTGAGAAAATGTGTTTTTCAAATGATGGAAGGTTAAAATGGTAGAAGGTTAGAATAGCAAGAAACGTGATACCTACTGAGTGACTAAAATGATTAAAAAAACGGTCAAAAAAGTCTTGAAACATATTTACCAAATCTGACTATTTTTCGAATGAGTAAAACGACTATTCAATAAAGTTATCGAAAAGTAGTAACAACAGTAATTTTCATAATTGAACAGAGAACAAACACTTCATACTCAATTGATATGCAAATCAAGTAATTCGATTGAGGATCATGTCAGCTGATTTAATATTACCATATTGATGGAAGCTAAGGAAAAACATATGTTGAAATCATTGAAAAATAGTTGAACATGTAATTGATAACCTTGAGTATTGTGCCGGTCAAAAAAAACATGGAATAATGAATACTGCCACGTACGATAAGAGACATCTATTTTGGGAGTATGCCTACTACTGATGGAACTGCTTTGATAGTGAAATTGATCAACACTAAATTTTGGAAAGGTTTGTTTTATAAAACGAACCATTAGTAGGAGATTAATCTCCTACGACCATTATTTATTTCAATTACCTATCATCCATAATGGAAGTTGGGAGTTCAATAATAAAGTTTTGTGTAGAGAATAATTGCATAGATTTTTTTTTCTATTTCAGAAATGCCATTATTTTTCTGAGAATAATGAAAATTTCTGTCAATAACAGGTTGAAGCATGAATTTTTCTAATATCAGTCCTGAGCTGAGCTGAGCTTTCAGTAATCATGTTTTTTGGAAACATAATTGCTCTCAGAGTAAAGTCTACCATAACACGTTTGTTTGAAGGTGGTTGACAATGTTTCGTGGTGTATTTCATCAGTTTGGACTTCCATTGTCTAATATAATATAAATTGATTTGGAATCCCTGAAAAAAATTACAAAGATTAACCGAAAATAACAATTTTAATAAACAAACAACTGAAATTGCAAAGAAATAACATACAAGCAACAACCAAGAAAAATGAAAAATTGAAATATTATTAGAAGCTGAAAATTAAAAAGAAATTCAAAAATATCATTAACAAAAAATGAGAAATAAAAATAAAATAAAAATCAAAAGATTCAAACCAAGTTATGTCACGACGTTCCGATTGTTAGTATCCACAATCGTCTTCGGGTGATAACTGGACTTATTCCTACGAGATCTGACTATTTATAGGTCATTCGAGTGCATTCACCTATCCCCTCTTTCNCATAACAGTTATTTGGCGCAATACAATATTCAAGTAGTCCCTACGTTTACTAATTCAAGTTTCAAAAACAATTTATTAGGTCATAGGATTTTCAAACATTCATTTATTTCAAAATTCAACCCAACTACTTGTCACATCGCCTTATTTATGAGAATATTTGTGGAACGACGAATTACAAAGAAATCTGCCAGAAACAATCAATAAGAAGAGTATCATTGGGAATGCAGATGATCTCGTTCCCCATTCTCAGTTTCGATAGTGAATTGTATGTGTGGGTCATGAGTATTGAAAATATTCACTACCTCTGATTCACCCTCCGTTAGACCAAGTCATCCATGACATCATGGATCATTTTTGCTTCTTTGGGAGTGCTTTAAATATATCAATTTTATCATTGGAATGAAAATATGTATTGTTGAAAAAAAGGTGATGAGTTCAATAAATATTTTTTATCGATATTGCCCAATTGACTATTGGTCAATTGACTGTTCAGTTCCCAGTTTTTATTAATCGTTCTCAGATAAGATTACAAATACATACAACTAATATTCACCTTAGTGAAATTCATGCCTTTTTACTGAACGTTCATTAGCCAACAGTTGAAATATAAATTGTTTATTCCAAAAAGAATAATTTCTCACTGCTAGTCTGTAAAGTATTCACCAACTCAGAATCGAGGTGAGTAGCTAAACAAAATTTCAGAATAATAGTAGGAAAACCAGTTCTGTCATATTATAATTATGAATTTCTATTAAAGAAATTATTTTTGCTTTGTTGGGTAGTAGGGGACACCTATGCACTGCAGGAAAATCAATTCAACCTAAAATAAATGAACTCTCCGGAAAAAAATTTTCATCAGAGGTGAAATATATTTTTAGTGCGTCAGGAAATTATTGCTGTTTTGTTGTCTGTTTCCCTAGGATAATAATATATTCTGTCATCAAAAGAGCCCTTTATTCAACTGAAACATTTGAATTTAAGATTCTGTCAAAATGAAAGATTATCAGATCAATAATTTTTTTAGCCACATGAATTATTTCAATAAAAATTCAAAAACGAATAAGAACAACCAAATTCAGTTGAGTAAAACATTTAAAATATATGTATATAGAGGTGAAGATTGTTCAATAAAGTTGATAATGAAATGTAATGAAAGAAACGTCGCATTGGCTCACATCAGATTATAACAAGTAATAAACAGTATCGAAAGGTCCTCTGCTTTTTTTATGGCATTCGAAATGGAGACGGTAGAGCCAAAAACACGAAAGTTGACAAATCTTGTTTCTGGCGAATATTTAAGAACAATCACTGATGTTCGATCTGAGATTATTCAAATTATAGAAAATAGTCCAATTCAACCTATCTT